TGTGCCATCATTGTCAATACGATAGTAAGAGTAGGAAGATATTGGAATAAATTTTGTCATAAGATTTCCCAGATAAAAACAAATAATGATTGTATTTGGGTTGTTGATAGATTAACAAAATTATCACACTTTAAACCTGTTTGGTAGAGAAAGACAATTCTTAAGAATGGAACTTGAGCAACTTTTTTAAATCAGATTCTTGATTATAGGATCGACATGAATATAACATCATAAAGCTCTGTAGGAATTCATCTCATCCAAGAATGACACATATGTTACGTTAACTTGTGGTATGCTTCTTGGATATTGAAATACAGACTGCCGTCCAATAAAAAAGAGTTATATAGTTCCTAGTCTACTTGTAGTAATAACTAACAAATTAATATTAAGATGAAACTTTATGAAGCATTCTATGGCAGGAAGTTTAGACTTTTAGTTGGGTTGAAGTTGAAGAGAGACTGCTGGTGCGTGTATAATTAGTTGACAAAATCTTTTAGAAAATAAGAATTATCATAGATATATTGAAAGCTATGCTGGATTATTAGTAGAAATATTATAACTCAATGCATAAAATGATTGAATTTGAAGTTGGTGAATTTATATTCTTAAAGGCAAGGCCAATGAATAGTATATGTAGTTTTGACCGAGGGTTGAAGCTGAGTCCAAGGTACATGCGACCATTTGAGATAAATAAAAGAATCAGAAGTTACTTACAGATTGGCTTTGGTGGTAGACATGTCTAATATACAGAATAATTAAGGCCTAAAATCAGTTAAAGATGAATGAGTTCTGCACAAAATGGAATTAAGGCTTCGGGAAATTCGATTTATGTTGAAGAATCAAGAAAAAATAAGAAAAAATTTCATTATTTGAAAGTAAAGCGGAAGCATAGATTCAAGAGTGGTAGCATGGGAATAAGAGCATAATACAACAACAGAAGTGTTTTGATCACCTTGAAGTCTTGTTTTGACCAAAATACTAGTGGTATAGCTTTTTCTTGTTTTGATCACCTTGAAACCTTGTCCTTTTAGAAGCAATCTTGAAAAGCAATTTTCTTTATTTTTAAATTACAAACTAAGTTAAGCGCTGCTAAGATGAGACTGCTTAGGTGGATGAATGGCTTGACACTTAGAGACAAAATACAAAATGAATGTATTCGTAAAAAGGTTGTTGTATATCCACTGGCAGACAAGATTAGAGAGTCGTCTTAGATGGTTTGGTTATATTAAACGTCAAACATCTGATGATCCAGCTAGGAGAGTAGATGCTTTAGATTCTACTTACGTTAAGAAAGATAGAGGTAGAACTAAAATATTTGCGCATATTGTATAAAAAATGGCTTAATTTATTAGAATTAAATGAAAATGTGACATTCAATATGGCACGATGGAAAAAAAAGATTCATGCTGCCGACCCCACTAGTGGGATAAACGCTTGTTGTTGTTAAAGTACCAACTTATTACTCATTACTAATGAAAATTAACCCTAAAATAACATTTAGGGGTTGTTTGGTATGCTGAAAATGAAATACAAAGTAAAAAGTTTACAAGGTACGATGATTACATTATATTTGAAATACTTTAAAGTTGTTTGGTTCACAGTAAAATAAGGGCAAGACTTTATTTATTTTTGTTTGATTTGAAGTATACAAAAATAATATATTTATTGGATTCGGTGATAGTTAGTGAGTTTGGGGTGGGGAGGGGGGAGTGAACTACTGATGGAAGGTGGCGACAAGCAACCGTCAGCCGAGGCTGGCGGCAGGCGAGGGCGGTGGCTTTGTTGATAGTATTTTACATTTTAATGAATGTTAAAATTTAAATTCGGCTAAATCGATCGAATTGCAAATTCAGTCTAAATGAATTATGGTGTAAACTTCAAATACATTCATACTTTATATTTTATTTTTAATTCTTCATACCAAACACATAAGTTTCTAAAATACATGCAAAAAAGTTACAATACACCATAAAGTTACTCGACCAAACGACCCCTTAATTTTAATTTGGTATCTTCTCATAAAGTCTAAGCACTTAACCAACCTCAATTCAAAGTCGATTTGTAGAGAAATTAAAAAAAATCTAGTTTTTACAAATGTTTCTCTGTTTTCTATGTTGGGCTTGCCTAGTTCTCTATCATTTATTGTTTGTGGGAAATGAGGAAAAATGATTAAGTATGCTTTAGTGCTTAGGTTATATAAATTTAACAAAGAACAACAATTAAATCCGATGATAAAATTGTTACCACACATTAGACGCCTCTCATATCGCTGACATATACCTCAGGGAGATTGTCAGGTTATACGGGATTCCCATAACCACTACCTCTGACATAGATGTCAAATTTCTAAGCCGCTTTTGCCGTACCTTATCGAGGAAGTTAGACACTAAACTCTAATTCAGTTCAACGGCTCATCCACAGACAGACAGTCAGACAGAAGTGGTGAACAAAAGCCTAGGAAACCTACTTGAGATATTTTGTGGGAATGAATATAAAAAAATGGGATCTCATTCTAGCTCAACCAGAACTCGCCTATAACAGATTAATGAGTTAGACAACGGGACGCAGTCCATTCGACATTATCTACGACCGCAAGTCGCTCACACCGCTTGATCTGGTCCCACTCATGCCATCGTCAGAACTCGGCCAAGATGCAACAGAACAAGTTCGCGAAATCCAAGAAACACACAAAGAGGTTGGCAACGAGATTGCTAGACAAAACAAAAAATATCAAGCACAAGTAAAGACATTAAGGAAAAATGTGACATTCCAATAAGGCGGCCTCGTTTGCATTCGGTTGAAAAGGTAATGATTCCTCATAGGAGCTTTCGGAAACTGAAACCCAGAGCATACAAAACTTCCAGAATTCTGTGAAAACTCAACAACAATGCATGCAAGATTGACTTACTAGGGAACTACAACATTTCAACAACATTCAACGTTGCAAATCTCACTCCGTACTTTGAAGATCCAGAAGCTTCGACAGTTGAGGTGGAAGCTCCCATAATCCCAAGAGACTGACGCGGGGCTCATGGGGGACTGGTTGGGTGCAGATCCATCCTAGCTGGACCGACCCGTCCTCCTGGAGGGGGCTGGGGCCCCACCGCCCCTCCTTCCTCCGCTTTCCTTTTCTTTTTCTCCCTTTCTTTTTCTTTCCTTTCTTTCTCTTTCTATTTTCCTTCCTAGGCCCTTTCCTAATTTAAATAATTTTCTAAAAGCCTGAATCCTAATTTTATTCTCATTCCTTAATTTAAACATTTACTAAAAATCTGAGATCTTATTCTCCTTTCTTAACTTAAATGTTTCCTAAATTGGGTCCAGTTTCTTATAAATAGGAGTCGATGTGTCCAAAGTTAGGGGTCTTGATTTTGAAATATAAATTTAGTTTTATCGAGTGTTTTCCTTCTTGAGGGTTGTATCCGACGACGAGGAAGGCGCTTTGGATGTAATCCCGTTTGAAGTAGAGTTTATCTTCGTCGTTCCGACTACTACCCACAGTCCTACAACTCGCCGAAGTTCCAGCTCTTCTAGCTATCCAACCGACAGATTCCCTACCTCCCTCCCACTTTTCTAGAGCACCACTGCTCCTCTTGCAACCTCCCTACAGGTTACCTCAACCCTGTTGTTCTCCAAGGCCGCCAGTCGGCCTGCAGCCTCCCTGCAGGTTGTCGTACTTCATGCTACTCTCCTAGAGTGTCGCCACTTCTGAAGCCTCCTTGCAGGTTACCACAACCCTGCTGCTCACCCAAACCGCCGACAACTCCCTTATAGCTTCCTTGTAGACTGTTGTAGCACCTGCCGACTCCCTCACAGCAGGCCGCAACCGTCTCTCGGGCGTCCAGTCCGCTGCCGCCTCTCTCTCAGTAGGCCGCAACCATCCTCAGGCCACCCCCAGCTCCCCAACCGCTGCAGACTCTCCTCCTGCAGTTCACTGCCTTTGCTCGTTGGCTTCGACCGCCACTCTTGTCTCTGCTTCTTGACTACAGTGCCCACTCTTGCCTCTACTCTTCTGTTTTGGCTGCCATTCTTGCCTTCGTTACTTAGTTTTGGCCGCCACTCTTGCCTCCGTTACTCAGTTTCAACCGCCACTCTTGCCTCTGCTCCTCGGTTTCGACTGTCAACCTCGCTGCCTCTGGATTCCAGCCTTCGACGACGCTTCTTCGGGCTGCATTTCGACGCCTCGACAAGTGTCGCCTGGCTGTCCCGCTCCTCCCTAGTCGCTGGACATCACTCTGGCCTTCACCGCAGCCGCCGCTCCAGCCCCATCTCTCCGGACTCCCTCCTCGTTGAGCTTGTTCGGTCTTTGTTTGTTGGGTTTTTGTTTGTAATGCTTTATTTTATATTCTTTGAGTTATTGTTGTAATCGTCTTTTTAAGTTATTAATAAATTTGTGTCTTGCCTCATGGTTTGGGTGAACTCCGGTGTCAATTTAATTTTAGGAAAATTTACATGCAGTGCACATAACTCTTATATATTTACTTATCTCACACCTAAGCATTCATATGTACACATGCAATACTTTGGTGCTTCAAACCTATGCATGGAAATGTGTATTTCACTTTTAAAAAGTGGAAATAGTGCTATTTTTTATGTTTTATTAAAGATTTGAGTACTATGTGAGTAAGTATGAAAGTTTATGTGTGAAATATGTTAACACATTAGAATTGTGTTCTGTGTATGTAAATTCCCCTTAATTTTTTTTAATTGACACTTGTCACTTTGTGATTAGTAGTTAAGATTTGGCCAAGTTCTTTTCTGGTTTTGGTTTAATATATTTGGTATAAATTGTTCTGCGGGATTTATTTAAAATTTCCTTCTATAGTTTAATGGTTATTTGTGCTCATATACAAGTTTCTATCTTGATGGTTTTCTTCAAATATTTATTTGAATTTCGTTCTCAGGAACTCTTATACAGCCACTCCATTTTATTGTTCTGTCAGAAGAATTTTATATTTTATTGTAATCTATAAGTTTTCTTAGTCATTTATGGTAATATACAGGAGGAGATCCAGAAGAAGACGGGTTATATTATAATGCAGGAGGATGGAACATTTGATGTTGATGCCAATACATCAATTGATCAGCTTTCTGAGGAATTGAATGTGAAAATACCGGAGGTCTGTATGTATTTATTTTGGCAATAAATTTAGCCATTATCTCCTTCTGTCTGGCTTATCATCCTCGCCAGCCTTATCCAACACTTTGGTTTTTTTGTCTCTCGCCATTTTATTAGATGCAGTTCTAATCAGCGTGACATTGTTTTCTTCTGAGAGGCCCTCACTGTCCACTTTTGTTGTCATAAAATCATCCCAATGCACTGAATCAAGCAAATGGGATAAGCTAATGTGTTACTGGCAGTACTAATTATCATTTAGATTAGAATAGTGCATTACCTTTCTTTTCATTAAACATAAGCATTTTCCTGACTACATTGCTACAGAGTTGTCTAATATATTAATAACGTGTCTTTGGAGGCTTGGGTAGTTTAGTCATATTCTTTGAATACCAGAAGATACACCAATGCTGAATGTGGCAAAACGTAATGTGAATGGAAAAGTTAAGGCTAACATTTTTAGAAGTTGTGAAAAGAAGGCCATTGCGAGTTGAAGATTCTTTCCCAACTTAAAGATGTTAAATTTATTGTGTCTAAGATATTGAGAAAAGTTAATATATTTTGATGATTTTGTTTTTTTTCCTTTTTTTTTAATGAAGAGCAAATGATGAACAAAAAGTTGTTAAAGGTAAATAGAATTATTGTGATATAGGAAGGAAGAGTGTGCTTTGAATTTAACATAGTTAAAGAGAGAGAAATAGAACATCTATAAACGAGGGCACCTCATTGAACTCTAAATATGAATCAATGAATGAGAAGTATTCCTAAATCAACCCTATATAGTTGGTATAATGCTATTAATGATGTTAGTGGTGTTGTGGCAAAGGTTTTGATTTTATTACCCACTCGATAAGTTGATCATGACCAAATTTACTGTATTGAGAGCAACAAATGATGTAAACTTGCTCAAAGTGTTGCACTATACATACATATATATATATATATACATACATATATATATATATACATACATATATATATA